CAAGGAAAAGCGAGGAGGAAGTTAAACTGTCAAGGAAAAGCGAGGAAGAAGTCAAACTGTCAAGGAAAAGCGAGGAGGACGTTAAACTGTCAAGGAAAAGGAAGGAGGAAGTTAAACTGTCAAGGAAAAGCGAGGAGGACGTTAAACTGTCAAGGAAAAGGAAGGAGGAAGTTAAACTGTCAAGGAAAAGCGAGGAGGAAGTTAAACTGTCAAGGAAAAGCGAGGAGGAAGTTAAACTGTCAAGGAAAAGCGAGGAAGAAGTCAAACTGTCAAGGAAAAGCGAGGAGGACGTTAAACTGTCAAGGAAAAGGAAGGAGGAAGTTAAACTGTCAAGGAAAAGCGAGGAGGGAAGTTAAACTGTCAAGGAAAAGCGAGGAGGAAGCTAAACTGTCAAGGAAAAGCGAGGAGGAAGTTAAACTGTCAAGGAAAAGCGAGGAGGACGTTAAACTGTCAAGGAAAAGGAAGGAAGAAGGGCGTGTGAGATGATGGACGCCATGACAGTAATATTTTGCCTTGATGTACCGACGAGATTTTTAATTCCTGTTTATTTCTCATTCGTTTTATTTTGTTCGTTTTAATAAGAGAATTTGTATACGGAATTGTCGTTAAAATGAACAACGGGAGCTCAATGTACAATTCATGAAAATATTGTAATTCATTCGCTTATTACGCTTAGGACAATCATATAATAATAATGAAAGTAATAATGATAACAATAATAACAATAATTACGATATTAATAATAGTAATAACAACACCATCTATAACAACGTGAGGAAGTTCTATTAATTTCGAAAACCTTATTCCATAAATGACCTATTTTATATATAAAAAAAATATTTCTACAGTGAGAGACCACATTCTGTTGACGAGAAAGGAATGACATCATCACTAATTTCGGAAAAAACGAGAAAGTAGTAAAGGACAACTTTTTATTCTAGAGGAAAGACCTAGGCAAATATGGGTTTATTGTCCCTAGACTTAAACTACTCACTTTCTCATCGCTAAGATTTTTTTTAAACGTAAATCTAAGAATAATGATTCGGTACAAAGGTTCAGTTTCCCACCCACGCTATTACACAAATAAAAAAAATAATAATAATAATAACAGAACGCTCATGTCTCTCTCTATCTTTATCCACTTCTATCTTTATCCACTTCCACTTCTCATCGCTAAGATATTTTTTTTTTACGTAAATCTAAGAATAATGATTCGCTAAAGAGGAACAATTTCACACCCACGCTATTACACAAATTCAAAAAAAAAAAAAAAAAAAAAAAAAAAAAAAAAAAAAAAAAACAGAACGCTCATGTCTCTCTCTATCTTTATCCACTTTCTCATCGCTGAGATTTTTTTTAAACGTAAATCTAAGAATAATGATTCGCTACAGAGGAACAGTTTCCCACCCACGCTATTACATAAATTAAATCTTAAAAATCACATAGAACGTTCATGTCTCCTTCTATGTTTATCCATTATCTCATCGCTAAGATTTTTTTTAAACGTAAATCTAAGAATAATGATTCGGTACAGAGCCACGATTTCCCACCCACGCTATTACACAAATTCAAAAAAAAAAAAAAAAAAAAAAAAACAGAACGCTCATGTCTCTCTCTATCTTTATCCACTTTCTCATCGCTAAGAATCTTTTAAAACGTAAATCTAAGAATAATGATTCGCTACATAGGTTCAATTTCCAACCCACGCTATTACACAAATTCAATAAAAAAATCACATAGAACACATATCTCTCTCTATGTTTATCCACTTTCTCTTCGCTATTTTTTACGTAAATCTGAGAATAATGATTCGCTACAGAACCACAATTTCCCATCCACGCTATTACACACATTCAATAAAAACAAAAAATCAAATAGAACACTCATATCTCTCTCTGTGTTATCCACTTTCTCTTCGCTAAGATATTTTTTTAAACGTAATCTAAGAAAATAATAATTCGCTACAGAGGTTCAATTTCCCACCCACTCTATTACACAAATTAAAAAAAAAAGAATCATACAAAACACTCATTCCTCTCTCTATGTTATTATTACACATATTTAATTTTAAAAATCATACAGAACATTCATGCCTCTCTCTATGTTATAAACACAAGAAAACATTGACCTTCTCCCTTGCTCACCTGCCCAGGTACCCCGTCATCAAGGTCAGCCTGAATTCCAGCTACGTTCGTTTCCCAGCTGCTGTCTGTGGCTTCGACAGACGACTCTATCACCAGCTGTTTGGTGAAATATACGTATGTGAGAAGAGAAGAAAGAAAGAAGGAAGAATAAGAAAAAGAAAGAAAAAGAAGAAAATAGAAGGAAAAAGAGAGAAAAATAATATATATGTGTGTGTGCGTGCGTGTGTGTGCGTGTGTGTGTGTGTGTGTGTGTGTGTGTGTGTATGTGTGTGTGTGTGTGTGTGTGTGTGTTGACGTAAAATTAAACGGTACGGTAAGTAAAAGTGTTGTATATTCTTCACCCCCGCCCCTCACCCCGCCCCTCACCCCTCCCTCACCCTCCCCATCCCCCCTCACCCCTTCCTCCACCCCACCCCCACCCCCTCCCTTCCCCCACCCCACCCCCACCCCCTCCCCTCCCCACCCCACCCCCTCCACCCCCACCCAACCTGACCTTGCTGAACGCGATCTCGAAGTCCACCACCTCCTGCACCTGCGCCTCGATCTCTTTCGTCAGTAGCGCTCGACCCCAACTCCTGACGAAGCTCCTTGGCCGCCGCTGTCATGAAGGCGCGGTAGGCATCCAGGACGGCGTCGGTGGCCTGGCTCATGAGACCCAGACCGAGGGGCACCGTGCCTGCTTGGACCTGTCGGGTGAGGTTGTAGTTGTTGTAGCTCTCGTGTCAATGGTTGTTGGGGAGAGGTTGTAGTTGTTGTAGCTCTCATGTTTATGGTTGTTGGGGAGAGGGAGAGTGTAGTTCTCATTTTTATGGTTGTTGGGGAGAGGTTGTAGTTGTTGTAGCTCTCGTGTCAATGAGTTGTTGGGGAGAGGTTGTAGTTGTTGTAGTTCTCATGTCAATGGTATGTTGGAGAGGTTGTAGTTGTATTACTTATGTTTATGGTTGTTGGGAGAAGGGAGAGTGTAGTTCTCATTTTTATGGTTGTTGGGCGAGATGTTGTATTTTGATAGCTCTCATGTTTCATGGTTGTCGGGGGAGAGGGAGAGTTGTAGTTCTCATTTTATGTTGTTGGGGAGAGGTTGTAGTTTGTAGCTCTCTATAGTTTATGTTGTGGGGAGAGGGAGAGTGTAGTTCTCATTTTTATGGTTGTTGGGGAGAGGTTGTAGTTGTTGTAGCTCTCATGTTTATGGTTGTTGGGGAGAGGTTTGTTAGTTGTTGTTAGCTCTCATGTTTATGGTTGTCGGGGAGAGGGAGAGTGTAGTTCTCATGTTTATGGTTGTTGGGGAGAGGGAGAGTGTAGCTCTCATGTCAATGATTTGTTTGGGGATGAGGTCGCGTTGTTGTTTTTTTTCTCTGTTATGGCTGTTGTTAGTATTCTTGTTGTTGGTGTGGTTGTTACAGATGGTGTTGTTATTACTATTATTAATAATGTAATTATTGTTATTATTGTTATCATTATCACTATCATTATTATTATGATTGCCATTATTATTATTATAACCGTCATCATTACTTTTATCATTATCAAAGTTATCATCAACATCATTATCATTATTATCATGATTATTACCATTATCATCGTCATCATCATCATCATCATTACCATTTGAAAATTCCTACAAACAAGAAATAGATCCAGAAATCCCCGTATTATACCCCCCTTACCCCCCCCACCACATCACCACCTCCATCAAAATATAATAATGACTGATGATGCATGATGATGATGATAATAATGATAATATAAATAATTGATAATAATTATGATGTTGACCGATGATGATGATGATGATGATGATTGATGATGATGATGATGATGATGATGATTTGATGATGATGATGATGATGATGATGATGATGATGATGATGATAATGATAATAAATAATAACAATAACAAAAATAATATAACAACAACAAAACAACAACAACAATATAATAATAATAATAATAATAATAATAATAATGATAATAATAATAATAATAATAATAATAATAATAAAAATAATAATAATAATAATAATAACAATAATAACAACAACAACAATAATAATAATAATAATAATAATAATAATAATAATAACAACAACAATAATGATAATAATAATAATAATAATAATAACAATAAAAACAACAACAATAACAACAACAAAACAACAAAAACAACAACAACAACAACAACAACAACAAATAACAACAAAAACAACAACAACAACAAATAACAACAAAGACAAAACAACCGGCGTTTGGCCTTACGTAAACAACCCTGCGAGAGACGTTGAAGACATTCGCATCAACCCACGCCCAAAAATCGGATAGACGTTGATGGAAGCGAAGGTCAACGAGAGCGGCGGCGAGGTCAAAGTGGGCGGGCGGGTCCCAGCCGTCGGTCACCATAGGCCACCCACCTTGGTTGTTGAGGCTCGTGACCAGGGGTTGGAGGCCGAGGCTGTCCATGGTGTCTGGTGGGGATGGTGGGTTATGGGAATTAGTGGGTGGGTTTTTTTTTTTTTTTTTGAGGGGGTTGGGTATTTTGGCGGTAATGGGAATTGTGGTGTGGTTTTTTTTGGGGGGGGAATTAATGTTTTTTTTTTTTTGGGGGGGGGATTGGTGGTATTTTGGGGTAGTGGGAATGTTGTGTTTTTTTTTTTTTTTTTTTTTTTTGAAGGGGAGGGTTGGTGGTATTTTGTTGGTGGGTATGGGATTTTTTTTTTTTTTTTGGGGGGGTGGTGGTATTTTGGGGTAATGGGAATTAGTGGTGTGTTTTTTTTTTTTTTGGGGGGGGATTAATGTTTTTTTTTTGGGGGGGGGGGGATTGGTGTATTTTGGACGGTAGTGGAATTAGTTTTTTTTTTTTTT